GCATTATACTGTGTTGGGCTGGTGAGTCAAGTTTTGCACCCACAACCTTGAACGCTACAGGTGCTGGGTGGGGGAGCGGGTGGTCTTGGTGTTGGGCTCCGGTCAGCCCAACGTTTCTAGCAGTTGAGATGACCTTTCACCACTTCCCCTGAAATCTGTGCTGTTCTGTCAAAAGAAAGGAGGTGTGGAGGGAGAGGAGAGAGGGGCATTTAATCTCTTGGAAAAGTTTGGTGGGATGGGAATCTCCTAAACTGGAACTGTGGTCCAAGAGATGGGAATCTCCTAAACTGGAACTGTGGCCCAGGCCAACTATTTGCAGGCAAGATCCTCCCCTTCTGTTGCAGGACTTGGATCGGTCTGAATGGAGAGAGGCGGTTTTTGTTTGCTCGGTTTCATTTTTTTTTTAAGTGCCTCTTTTGCCCAGATTCTCTCGACGTCCGCCTGGACTCCTTGGAGCTGTCCCCTGCTGAGTGCTGGATCGTGAAGGATCCGGACTTGGAAGCAGAACCGGCCCAGGATCTGCCCGTTCTAGCCTTTATTCTCTTCTCTCGTGCATCCGCCCCTCCTTGCTGATTTTGCTTTCAGAAGGATCAGGGCACATCTCTTCCAACTGTGTGATAGACAAGCCCAGCGAGAGCCTGGCCTATCTAATTGCTTTCATTACTCCTAACTTTCAGCATATCACCCAGTATAAGCTGTTGGAGACAAGGTTAGCAGAGTCATGATACAAATCGCCCTGCTTTTAGCCCGCCTGTAGCATGACAGTCTAGCATTTCCATCAGAATTACAGGGCAAGCTACGCCATGCATGGACTAGCAATGGGGGGGGGGGGCCCAGAGGGAAGGGGGAGAGAAGGCCGCAGAAATATAACGCAAAACACTGGAGCTTCCAAATTTCTGCCTCTCAGAGCTACTCTGCGACGCACATGTGACAGGTGAAAGTAAACTCCCCGGGCCCGCACGCATTCCAGGAGGTGTCTGATCAGTTAGGTGCCCATCATAAATTCTCCAATACAATAAACTAGGTTTTAAGGGCTGAAACTCCAGACCCAGTTGTACCTGAGGACTTGAATGAGGCTCCGATCAGAAACATATTTACCAGGAAGTAAATGCTATTGAATTCACCCATTTACTTCCGAGTCATCATCATCATCATCATCATCTTGATTTCAGTTCAAGTATTCGGGGGTGGATTTGGCGAAATAAGGTAGGTTGGTTCGAGAGACATTTGACGAAAATAGTCAGGGGGGAGGATTTGTTTCACGGTAGCCTGCCCTGCGATTTCCATAGCATAGCCTGGAATAGCACTAACTTCTCCGAACATTTTTTTTGGGTCCGTCCGTGTAGCCATTTTACCATCGTAAACATAGATTAAATACACCTAGAAGTTTGTGGTTTTCGAGCTTCATTCGAAAATTCTTGTCGAGAGAGATTTTAAAAATGAAACAGATCGAAGTTTCGGCATCTTGGCCAACTATTTTCTCTCGGCCTCTCCCCCCCGCCCTCTCCAGTTACGCAAAAGCCCCTTCCCTTGCAATAAAACTGGGATTAAAGCCGGAGGACCATCAGTTTCCATCACTATTTTGTATACAGCCTTTGTTCCTGTCCTCCTTTGGACTTGATCTATTTTTTTTTTTTAAAAAAATATTACTATTGTTCGATAGTTCTGGATTCTTCGCCTGCAGTTGAGAATGCAGGAGCGTCAAGAGGTAATGTTAACAAATAGAAATGTTAAAGTGTGGTCAGCGCCAAGTGACAAGAAGCGTTACCTGATACTCTGGACAGCCAGTGTTGACTTCGAGATATTTTAAGCTCCAGTCAATAACTCGGTGTCCGCCCTGCAGCGAAATATTTGAAGCGCAACACCTTGGACACGTTTAATTATGGGGTAGCCGCAAAGCCAGGGCTTCCAAGTAATTAGAAAATACTTCTTGGGAGACAGCCTAATCGCTTACCATGGGGCAGTTCGAGAAACTGACCTCCAGGTGCCGAGGAGAGCCCGAGCGCTTCAGATCAGGAGGACTCGATCACATTGCATCTGCCCGCCTACTGAAAGTTACACAGGACTTTTGGAAGCGAGGAGCCAACTTCTGAAAACCACACCGAGGGGGATATTGTTGGGCGAGACAAAAGCAACAGAGAAACCGAGTCCAGCAGGCTGGACTCTGAGCTGCAGCAACACGTGCTGGGGAGGGGGTGTCCTAAGGAAACCCCCCCCCCAGATTATACTTCCCTGATTCCCGCAAACTCCAGAATATATACAACAATCCTAAACACGTTTACTGGGAAGTAAATCTCTTTGATTTAAGCGAAGCTCCTTTTCAAGCGCATTTGTGCGCGGCTGTAGGAGCGCAGGCTCTTGGGGAGTAATGCGTTTAATTTTTAAAAAAATAATCGAAAGTGCAAAAAGGATAACCGGTTCCTTCGGTTGCCAAGTGTTTTGCATTCCCCAGTCGAGTCCAGCTGTCAGGGGCTAAATATAGCCCACCATTGACGAGGCTAAAATGAAAACAAAACAAGACAAGAAGCCGAAACAACAGTGATGGAGGGGTTCGCAACGCTGGGCCTGGCTTTTCCTCGCCTTCTCTTCTGTCTGGCGGATTGAATCCCCCCCTTCTGGCTTCGTTCTGATTCAAAGCTTAATCACCACCACCACCCCGGCCCCAAAGAGCCGGGCTGGAACCTGCTGAAGCCCCGGCCGGAGAGGAGCCAGGTACTGTCCGGGCTCTGGCCCTCAGCCGCCCTGGCCTCCTCCGGGTCTCCCCGTCCTGCACTGCCACTGCCGAGTACGACACTGCCTCGCTCTTCTCCGCTCTTCGCTCCTTCCGCTTCCGCGGGCCTCTTGGATTCCCGGCCCTGCCAAGGTGCCTCTGGAGCCGAGGGCCGGTAAGGGAGTTGGCGGAAGGGGCCGGAGCAGCTGCCCGGACTCGGCTGTTTATGTTTTGGCTTCAGGTCTGGCTTTGGCGCTGGCCGGCTCGCGGATCCATCCCCCCCGCCCCGCGCCTGCCCCGCAAGCGTTTGTGGGCAGAATGCCTTTCTTTCTTTCTTTCTTTCTTTCTTTCTTTCTTTCTCTGTGTTTTAAAGCGGCACTAACTCTCCTACGCTTCGCTGACCTTGGGGCGACTCTCATAAATTCGAGAGCAGCCAAGCAAAGATCCCGCGGATGACGCGGAAAGAGATGATGATTTGGGTTTCGTCTGCAAGACGCGCAAGTGTTTGTGCAGCGAGCAATCCTTGGCAGAGCGAAGGAGGAAGAAAGGGGCTCGGTCCACGGAAGGATCCTGCTTGGATCTACCGTCAGGATCCGAGTAGACTCTACTGAAACCTCTGGGTTTTGATCTGTCACAATGTTAAAAGGCAATTACTCCGTGTGTGTGTGTGTGTTTTATATATGTATATATGTGTATGTGTGTGTGTGTGTGTGTGTGTGTGTATAATATATATATATATGTAATCTCTGTCATTTGATTCTTTTTGTGAAAAGCGCTTGGGGGAAGGGGAGGCCCACGTCGTGCTGCCTGTCAGTGGGAAACCTCTCTGTCTGATATTGTTTTTGAAGTTGGAATAAATGATCAAAGGCTCCTGTCCAGTTTTCAGCGGAATGATTCAATTACCATTCCGCCTTATGTTTATTGCACCGACGCTACCGGGGGGTTTGGGTTGGGTGAGGAGAAACCTTAAGACAAAAAAAGACGGAGGGAACCCGCCAGGGAGCGAGCGAGCGGCCGCTGGAAAAATTAACCGCCTCTGATGCCTCGGCTCTCCTTCCCCTCCCCCAGCAAAATAAACCGGTAGCACAAAAAAGTCCCTTTGTATTGCACGGGTTCATTTAATATTATTTATGCATTTTTGCAAGGAATTGTGGGATGCCGTCCCCTCTCTTTCTGTCTTCCTCCCCTTCTCCCCTCCCAACTCCAAGTGTAAACAATATGCATTTTTAAAATATGCATCTCTCTGTCCGTGAAGCACACCGAAGACCTTAATGATTCAGACAAAGGTACAGAAAGGAGCAGATCAGCAATGCGAGAGGTGGCGAATCTATCCCTTCCTTAGAGGTCGGAGGTATTTTTGCATTCCTTCTCTTCTTCTTTTTAAGAGAAAAAAAGGCTCTGGAGCAGAGAGGACGCTGCAGCTTTAAAATGAGGGGGAGGGAGCCGAGAGAGGGGGGGAGGAGGGGGCCGCTCCTGTCATTTACTAGAGTGCTACTGTATCACGTGTGGGGAAGTCTTTTCTCCCATTGGCCAAAGGCACGTGTCTAGGATACCGGCCTTGCAACGTCACTTGAGGGGCTCTATTAAAAATAAGAACAAAAATCCAGAGTGAAAGTATTTCAGGTTCAGTTTAAGTGGCTTCTAAATTCACCTCGGCGCTGGAGACAGCCCGGGCGGGCGAGCGCAAGAGGATTTCCGGCCCGTCTCCTCCAATGCGCCTCGGAAGACCCGGCTGGCCGAGGGGGCTCAAGGCAGAGAGCGGCGGCGGCGGCGCCCGTCCAGATGCCCGCGCCCGTCTCGATGCTCCTGCTGCTGCGCCCGTAGAGGGGAGCCGACGCGGACTCTAGCCCGGCAGATGCGGCTGCCTTGACTGACCGCCCCCCTTCGGCGGCCGAGATCCCGCGCGCCGCTCCGGAGACGCCGGCGGGGAAAAGCGGGGGCGGCGGGGGCCCAGCCCCCCCTCCCCATGAAGGCGTCGCGGCGGGGCCAAGGATGGAGGCGCGGGCTCCTGCACGACTGAGCGGCTCCGAAGGGGCGGCACGAAGAGCCCGCTGAAGAAGCCGGAGGCGCAGCCCGGACCCCGACCCCAGCGCGCCCATCGCTGCGCCCCCCTCTCTCTCGCTCTCTCCCTCTCTCTCTCCCGGGCCGGCGCCCAGCCTGGATTTGGCTCGCCCAGCGGAGAGAAGCGCCGGGGGGGTGCGGGGCGGGGGGGACCCGAGCTAAGCCGCCCCGAAGCGCGCCCAGACAAAAGGGGACGGCGGCGGCGGCGGGTGGGGATTCCGCGGGCGGCATGGAGGAGACCGAGCAGCGCCCCGGCGAAGAAGGCGCCGAGCAGCCGCCGCCCC